ATATATATATATATATATATATATTGGATTACAAAGCAACATTGATAAACAAGTAAAAGCATTCTTTTCGTTGATTTTATACAGGGTTTCAATTTCATATCCTTATAGTATAGATTAATATATTTTTTAATTAAATCTTTTTTAAATTCCACCAATGATACAGTAATCAGTGAATGTGAATTTGAACAAGTTGAAAGCATAATATGAAGATATGATATTATAAAATAATATATATTTCCACTGACTGTCTCTTTCCCACGCAGGTGTCTAAAATTAAGATACGGAACCTCACCCCACAAATACACGTACCGAATCATAACTACTTGCACAGTTGTATGTAATGTATATCCCTCTATATATAACCTTCCTTCCCTACCTTTTCTCCTTCAACTTGCTTACTTTGTCGTTTCTTCTCTTTCACTTCTTCTCTGCAACCTCTAACTTCAACGTTCCAGTACTCATTGCTCCCATAAAAAACAAAATGGGTAGGTCACCATGCTGCGAAAAAGTTGGCTTGAAGAAAGGGCCATGGACTCCCGAGGAGGACCAAAAACTCATGGCTTACATCGAAGAATTTGGCCATGGAAGCTGGCGTGCCTTGCCTGCCAAAGCTGGTATATAACTATATATATCATATTAAGGGTTACAACTTACAAGCTTAGAATAAGAGTTTCTCATAGTGAAACTTGTGTCTGAGTTAATCTATTATTTTGTTTGTTTGAGATAACAATGGGTTTTGTTTTTCACATTTAGGCCTTCAAAGATGTGGGAAAAGCTGCAGACTAAGGTGGACTAACTACCTCCGACCCGACATTAAAAGAGGAAAGTTCAGCTTGCAGGAAGAGCAAACAATCATTCAACTCCATGCCCTTCTTGGAAACAGGTATAGTAAAGTCACTCACACACGACCCATTCTTTAACTAAACTTAACTAGCATACTATATATATATAATTAATTTTAGTATGCACTTTCTTTGGGGCATGCAAGCTTCCCAAGTGGAAAAGTGACACACCAACATGCCATTTATAAGACAATTGTTAAATGTTTGTTTGAGCACAGGTGGTCTGCGATAGCAGCTCAACTTCCGAAGAGAACTGACAACGAGATTAAGAACTACTGGAACACGCACCTGAAGAAGAGGCTAACGCGAATGGGGATAGACCCCACAACGCACAAGCCCAAGAGCGACGCACTCGGAGGCTCGGCTGGTGGTGGTTGCCACTCCAAGGACGCAGCCAACCTCAGCCACATGGCTCAGTGGGAGAGTGCTCGCCTCGAGGCCGAAGCAAGGTTGGTTCGAGAGTCCAAGTTGCAAGTCCAGAACAACCTCGGATCCTGCTCCAACGCCACGCAACCTGCGAGACTCGTCCTCAACAAAATCACCACACACCAACCCTCTCTCCCACCCTGTCTTGACATCCTCAAGGCGTGGCAAAGCTCTTGGTCCAAACCACAACCAACCACCAAAGATCACAACAACACCAAAATGATGCATGCCATGTACGCCATGATGCTATCCACCGACGACACCCTCGAGTCTCCAACCTCCACCTTGTGCTTCCCAGGAACAACAACAACAGCAACAACCACCACCACCACCGTGCTTCCTGTCCCCCACAACAACATTGGAGTTTTGTTCAATGAAAACAACAACATGCTTAACGATGCCGCCACCATGTTGCACTTGCAAGACGATGATATCATGGCAGCGGTGGAAGCTTTCACTTCCAGTACTACAGGTTACAACGACGAACACGACAACGATAATGACAACGACAACAATAACAACAACAACGTTATCGTTGTTCCTCCCACGCTCTCCAACAGTGTTGTCCTCGAAGGACTCAACGGTAATGATAATAATGCTTTGGTTTATGACTCCAACGATAACTTGGGTACGGAGGAGGAGAACATGGCAATGATCAACGGGGACGGAAGCCTCTGCAACGTAAACCTCGACGAGAATAATAAGCATTACTGGAATAACATATTTAATTTGGTTAACGACACGCTTTCTGATTCCTCTGTCTTTTGACACGGTCGCGTGTGGAGCTAGCTAGTTAGTTAGTGAGATTAGTAGTAGCTTTTGCTATAGGACTTTAGGTTAATTAAATCATAGTAATAATCATAATGTCTCCAAAATAAGTATGCATGTAACCATGATCATTCTTGTCCAAAATGGATCTTATGTGTTAGAAGTAACCGTTGAGTTGAGTGTGTAAAAGTAAAAGTAAAAGTAAAGGTAACCCCTCTTTCTATTTAGCTTAATTTGTTCTAGGATGTGGACTCACCCATTTTCTTGGGAGTATCCATTTCACAAGAGACAAAATCAAATACTAGTAACTATTTTTTTAATTAATTAATTAATGTACTACATTGTGTTATATATCCATTTCCATGGCAATCATTAGCATCAACATTAGCTTTATATAATCATTACTATGAACAGTAAAACACACACTCTCTCTCTCTATAGATGCAACTTATGAAGTTTGGTAGAATCTTTTAGTGACCCACGTATCGATCTTCCATTATCAACATGTACGTCATTGTTCATTTAAGAACTTGAATTAATGCGGAGCAACCATCCAATCTTTGCTAGGAACCAGTCCCTACCAATCTGCTGCTTTCTTTGAAATTGGGATTGTTAAGTTCTTAAGAAAAAGAAATTGGGAGTATCACTATTTTTATAAAAGCATAATTGCATTTAATTTGTACGTAATATTCCAGATTAAATACGCAAGAAATATTACACATTGTGCAGAATGCGGATTCCACTCCACCTCCACCAAATGTGTCCTTATAGATTGAATTAATATTACTAGAAACACACGCATACATTATGTTATTTTGTATTTTTATTTAGTTGGTACACGTAGTGCACTCTCTTTTATTCTATTATTGGTTTTCTTTCTCCATAGTTGGGTTGGGTATGTCTGTCAAACAATTTCTTGTTTTAGATATCTGTCAAATTATATTAAAGAAACTAGCCATCTCACGTGCATTTTTCGTAATGAGTTGGCTATGCAGTTAATTAATGACGTCATGATTCCTGATCTCATCGAGGTGTCAATTTGGGTTTAGGGTAGATGCTACTTAATGAGTTGAAATTGAAATGATAGCCGGCCCATTACATGTTATGAACAATTGCGGAATCAATCAATTCCTATGAATGTTTTTAAAAGTTTTTCTCATTAAGATTTGTAGATTTTTTTTTTAACTTATTATCTAATTTATTTTTATTTCATTCATTAAATGTTAACATTTTAAATTAATTTTTTAATCAATCAAAATAATTTTCTATTATTTATGATGAAACTAAAATATAATTGATATTCCTAGAAATATTTATTTATACTAATTTTAAATATAATATTTTTGTGTGTGTGTGTGTGTTAACTCTAGACGGAATGATATATATAAGATTTCCTTTGAAAATTGAGCCTCATAATCTCATTCTTAAGAAATATTAGAGAGAAGTTAAAGAGAGAATGACTCTAAGTTCGTGAACTCCTTTCTTTCTCAAATTTTTCAGTTTAATTCCTTTCTTTCTATATATTACTAATAATCTTTCTATATATTACTAATACTTTTGTCTTTTCTTTGAATTCAGATTAGGAAGCTTGAATTTTGTTGATTGAAGTCTTCAGGATGAGTTTTAGGATTCTCTCTTTCTTCCTATTTTCTTGGCTATTCTGAACCAATTTTTAGGTGAGGGAAGCTAGGACATTGTTTGATTGTTTAGATTGGTTGCATGTGAGTTTAAAAACACAATTGATGCATGATTCGTGGATTAAATCGTTGTTGAGGAGTTTCATCATTTTCACAATTTTGTGCCAAGTTGAGAATTGTTGATTTTGATGCATTGGATAGGTGCATGTTGATTCTGAGGTGGTTTTTGGATAGTATGGAGTATGTTTTTCATTTTAGATGGATTACATGTGGTTGGTTCTTCTATATTTGCTGGTTTCTGTTTGAATTCTTCGAACTCGGTGTGCCAACTTTTGATATTAGCATCAAGTGCATCTTCACGGCGCTAGGCGGGCATTCATTAGATGCTTAAATTTCATATTTGTGTTAGGCGCAAGGCTAGTTACGTCGGGCATGAACTGAAATTGGGGATTTTTGGATGAATGGCGTCGAGCGTGAAGGGGTGGGGTAGGGCGTGATGTCAGAAGTTGAAATGGATGAGTTTGTTGAGATGAGGTCGAGCGCCAGGTAGTTGCACCAGGCACGACTACCTTAGGGTAGTCTCTGTCGAGCCTTAGCCCCGAGCATGACACCCCGTCAAAGCCTGGTGCTTTCGGGTTGAGCTTAGTGTCGGGTGATACGGTAATTTTGCCAGGCATGGGCCTATAATGTGATGAGAATGTAATTTGTGTTGTGATTGAGTTGTGATGCTTTTGCATGATTTGGTGTTTAAAGTTGGTTCATATACCGATTATATGATGAAAAAGGGGTGATTGATTCATATGTATGTTTCGGAATGATATATATGAATGTTTAAACAAAATTTAAATATGATCTACTATGCATGTATGTTGATATGAGGATGATGTTAATCATAATGGTGGATTGATCATGTATGATGTATGATGCATTGTTGCATGAGGTACCTTATGGCATGTGATCCTAGTTTGCGACATGAGGAGAGGAAAAATATTTTGAACTAGAAGAGCTCACATAGAGTCTCT